TGTTCGGAATTGTATAAAAATTAAAAATATAAAACTATATGCTCGCAGTTAAATTGTTCACTAGTTTAGATTTGGTTTAAGAAAACATTTTCTTGGATTGTTGAAAATAAAATTAAAATACAAAACTATATGTATATTGAAAATTATTATTAATTTGTTGTTGAAAACATTTCTTAAATTATTTAAAAATAAAATTAAAATACAAAACTATATATATAAGATATATACAATTCTATTTATAAGTGTCCACAATCTTTTCTGAATACAGAAACCTATTATTATGATTCCAGAGTCTAAGAAATAAGATCTTAAGTGACTTTTGTTGATTTTAAGTTTTTCTAAGGAAAGGTTTTATATATTTTTCATAGGTCCATACAAAAGAAAAATCAGTTTTCAAATACTTGTATAATGATTGTCTGTTTATAGTTAAGAGCGTAGAATTCGTTTTGGTGCTTTCATTTCCAATGCAAATTTTTCTGTTTTGAAAGCGGTCTGGAAGCTAGTTTATCATCAAATAGACTGCAGAATATATTTTAGAGTATTAAATAATAAAACTGATTTTCGTATAGCAATTTATTTTGAGCATATCCGACTCAATCCAACTAATTTGATTTTGTTTTATAAAGTGTATGTTATGGTATTGATATAATGGTCTACATATCATGACTATAAAAATATTAACTAGCATTTCGTCTGTTAAGATCGTAGCGATTAATTTGTCGCGGCTGGTATATTGCTTATTCTAGTGCATCCAGATTTTTTATTGCCTTTTTAATTCTGTAATATGTTGTAGCTTGATTGTCTTGGAAGTGAGAGGTTTAGTTATAACGAATATTTTCTTTGATTTGTTACTTTATTGCTATGTACATAAAATAATATTTCAATTATAATTTTAGCGGTTTTGTCGATTTTTCCTTGTATTATTTGTATTAACTTGTATTTGAAATTTTTTACAATATATCTAACATGGTCATTGTTGATAACATGATCCATGGTATTTGACATATTGGTGAGCCATAATTCAACTGAGACTTAAGCTTATACATATCTATTTTTTCCAAAGTCCAGATTTCCATTTTATTGACCAGAAGAATGGTTGACCAGTCGAGAATAGTATTGACCGGAAACAGCATTTCAGAAAATAAATTTGTTAGAAGATTTTGTAATTATCTTGAAGGGTTTGCTATATAATACACATATGGTACACAATTTGTCGCTTAATGAACAAGTCGATAAAAGTCGACTAAAGTACTTTTACTCAATAGTGTCTGTGATCATTTGGTTGATGCACTGTAACAAGTGTTCCGGTGTTGAATTATGATAAAGAGTTCTTCAGCTGATTTACGGAAGTATAGTTTAAAACTCAGCACATCCTCTTAGCGATATATACATTGCATTTGTTTTAAGACAGCGTAGCTCTGAATTAGTTTGCGTAATCACAGAATCAAACAATTTCAGCACTCTGTCTTTGATATACTTTTGCACATTCCCGATTTTCAAAACCTTGTACGTATCTTTATTTCTGATATAGCGTAGTGCTTTCAGCATACTTCTCAATACAATATTCTCATAAGTATGAAGGTTTCTACTGTGGGTGAAATATCGTTGCCATAAGACACACAACTACCTTCGTAGTAATTTATTAGTAAATATAACTATGTATAAAGTGTAGATATTTAAGTTTTTCATATAACCATTTACATATTAAGGCATTTATTTCATTCATTCGACAACTCTGAAGCGTATATGCAAAGTATTTCAATATTTGTTATTATTTTTATTACATATAAAGCTTATATAAAAAATCTATTGCCTTGAAATATAAATAAAAATAGCAACAAACCATCCAACCGCACAATTTGGAGCCCAAGTTTTTTCTTCAGTTGACACTGTAATGCTGGCTGCTGTGTCTCATCTTCAACGAAATATGCTTAGTCAACGTAACGTTAAGTGCCATAAAAATAATTCAAAATAAATTGCTTTACATAAAAATTGGCCAAAATGCTGGTAATAGACATTATTACGTTGGCTCATATTGGCTTTTTCAACAAACAAAAAAATTTGAAATAAAAAAATTATTTATAAGGTGTATAATTTGGTAATAATAATGCGTATCATGAAAATTCATCTACGTTATTAATACTCGTATTATGCAGACGTAGTATTTCAAAATTTTGACTACAGCGAGTGAAATTCATTCAACTCATAAATAACAACCAAATATAATAAAGCATACTTATGGGCGTCTTCCACAAAAAGTCTTCACTTTAAGCTCAAATATAAACACTTCAAACTGAATGAAACAACTTAATCATAAAATTTCGACAAAGTCATGTCAGCTGCTATAATCTCACCTTAATCCCTGCTAAATTGTACCTTTTTCTGTGGTTGCTGATAAGCAAAGTGGCGTAAGTCAATATTATAGATGAAGTTATTTTTATTTATTTATCTTTAGGATTCACCTTTCTGGGTCTTAAGATCCCGCACAAATAAGTGCTTTAAGAACTTTGGACGGAAAATTTAAATTAGGTAAGGAAAATATTTAATTCTTTTTCGCATTTGCAAATTTTGACAGATTAAGCAGTGCAAGGGAAAAATATGCTAATTTTATTTTCTTACAATAATCGCGTCTTTATGTCATGTAATTATGGTCATAATCAACTTGTACAGACGGACATTTACTTGTCACATTATCGTTTATAAGAGTATCCATTTTTTTCTTATCCTGTCAGAGTAAAATGTTTATTATTGTGTAAATTGCTTTGATATGCTAATTTTATATTCACTTTATTGCGGTTACTTTTTATATTGTTTTTGCTTTTTGCCACATTATGTGCGTATATACTTACAGATTAGGATCTTTAGAAAAACTTCCAAAGATTTAAATTTTTATATTACAAAAAAGTTAAAAATTAAATTTTAAAAATAACAATCATAATTATATTTTATAATGTATCTTAATGTATAAGTATTCAAATCGAATCAGAAGTTATTTCCAGACGTTGGTCGTTGTAGATTCTCGGATCAATGTGGTGTTTTTGAAGAGGAAGTGTAGTACTGAGCAATTATAAAGCAAATAAAATAGATCAAGAAACATCACTTTTTTTTCTCAGAATACAATTTTTGCGGGACAAATGCTTCATCATAAATGCATTCAATGTTTCCTGATCATATGCGGTGACTCTTAAGAACCTACGCTCATTTGTTAAGGGTCTCTACTACAGCAGCGATCATACCATTACTGGCCCGAATGAGCGCCTTTTGGTCTTAGCCAATTATTAAGTTTAATACAATTAAGTTTAATATTTTATTTATTAGTTTCGAGCCTCTATGATATGATGCTGGTTCATTATTTTTTTCAAAATGCTTTTATTTCACATATCAAAAGTTGATTTGATCAGCGACTTAGACATACGTATGTGTTGATTTCTGTTAGCAGTTTGATTTCTAATATGTATTGCTACAGTTATACTATCTTGATCTAAAGGTGAATGGTATTAACTATTAAAAATTTACACGTTTTCAAATATTTTATTATTAATTAAACAGTGGTTGAAATGAATATTTGATTTGATCTTTCATCAGTTTTATATAAACTTTGACCTGAATAAGATTAATATAATTTAATCTTATTTTAGTAATAAATTCATTGAATATTATATTTCTATCGATTAAAAATCATATCAACATCACTTATTTCTTTGGTAATAGTCAGGCATATGCGTATTCCTTTATGAGGGGGTTCAACAGCTTTCCATTAATCTTATGGTATGTTAGTTCCATATTAAAAAAAAGAAGAACAATTTGTGTTTCATGCGAATTTAATAGCAGAATTCAAGAATCACATTCTTAAGACCTGTCAGGGTAGGGTATGCCAATGGACATATGCAAACTCTTTGCAAATTTAATCTTTATTCATTCAACTCTTAAACAAAAATATAATCATATTCCGTAATGGTATCATCCTGTTGTTTTCCATTTATATTCTGTTCATCACAGATCCGATAGAAATCACAGAAAATGCGAATCTAATACCGATGCAAGCACCAAATCCAACAATCATATATTTTAAGGTTGAGATATCAATAGGCATTTGTTAGCTCTTCATTCAACCAGTATAACCATTTGCACTTAAAAATTTTCAAGTAAGGGTAAGGGCTTAACTCCATTTTTAGAACTATTTACAGAGTCCTATTTTCTGAATTGGTTCGCAATAAACTATAAGATAATAGAAATAATAATACTAGTGTTTGGTTAAGATGCTCTCAAAGAATAAAGATGTTTCTCATAAACTCTAAAAACTTTACTGTATTTTGGCGAGGAAATTGCGTTTAATGTACATGGCTTAAATTTGAAAGCGCAGTAGTTATAACAAATTAAGAAAGAAAAGCGATGCGCATAGATAAACGGGCTTATAAAAATTCTACCCACCCTTAAAAATGTGCCTTAAGAATTTTATCATAAAGAAATATTATAATATTGTATGGAGTGTGCAATGATTGAAACCAGATTCCCGATGTTTACCATTTTTATTTCAATTAAATATCCTTATTCTTTTTCTTACTTAATAGTTTCCAGGAATAGAAGTTACTTCCATAAACATAACAAAATCCACATTTGCAGCAGACCAGAAAAGAGTATGTTGAAAAAGAAGCAAGTTAGATAGAGATTCCGCTCTTGAATCGTATTACTATAGTAGGAAATGAAAATTCTGTTAAATACTTATATAATAAGTTGATTTCCATGTAGGAAGTGAGCACTATGACTGTGAATGGAGATTTCGAGGAAGACGTTCAGTATGTTATCACTAAGTTGGCAACTCTATTCATTTCAGTTACCTTACTCCATATTGAGTAACCATTGACAATTAGCAATGATTGTTTATTATTTGTAAACAAATATTCCTTAAATATCAATAAAAAACCAAACAAAGCTATTCGACATTATTGTATTTTGTAAAATTATTGTAAATAAATTAATTTTTCTATTTTTTACTTTTAATGGACTTTACATATGTGGAATTTCCCTGCACTGTTAACAAAAACGTATTGAAAGCATACTTCGATATAGAAAAAACTAAACTTCCCAAATCATTTGGCAAAACAACGCATTCTTACGATTTGAATGAAACCAACACAAATCAAGCAAAATCACTCCGTCATCTAGTTTTGGATGCCATCATTAGCAATTGGAATGGTAAAAGTATTATTGTTATTTTATTCTCATACCAAAAATGCAAACGAAAGTAAATCAAAATTTTAAACCCAACAGAAAATCCCATATTCAAGGAGTTACCAAGACAGGAGGACCGTAACTACATACTAAGCAATTTGAATGTAAATTTGCCCTTAAAACAACTAAGCCGGCACATACGAAGTAGTTTCTTTTGGAATAAAGCCTTTTGCCACCGTTGGAAAGTACAACAGACAGTGCAGCCAAGGCAGCGAAAACCTTGGATTAACATTTACATGGAAAGACATCTGCAAGAGTTTATTGAAAATGTTCAGACAAGTGACTATGATCAGGAAAGCGTACAAGAAACCTTGGACATTTGCGCGGAGTACATAAATCAATTGGAGATAAACTTTTTGCAACCCTCTCCAGACGGACAACACAGTAAGTCAAATGAAAAATATATTTATTTTGTAGTAAAAGTAAATAAAATGTAAGCTTTTGTTTCAACACACAATTCCGTTTAAATAGATCACATTCCACTTGATTTCATTTTGAGTAATCTGCCGGAATTGCACACGTTACGTTTAACATATTGTACCAAGTCTTTGGGTATGAATTTCTACTTGGGCTGTAATACCTTGTCGAAGCGTGATGTGCTCCATTTGGCCAGAGGACTGAGCAGAAGTCATGAGCTTCTACATTTCTGGTAATTATTATTAAACAGTCATTACATTTCAGCTTAAAAATAATTTTGTTACGTGCAGCTTACACAGCACCAAATTGAGTCCTTATCAGTTACACCCGATTGCACGCAATCTGGACAGAGGCTGCCACAACTTAACATCGCTCGCTTTGGTGCATTGTTCCTTTGGCAACGAAGGCATACGCAAATTCCTACAGGCTTGTAATAAGGAATCCTTTAGTACGTTAAAAATTTTGGACTTAACAAATAATAAAATAAGTGAGTTTATTAATTACATATGAAAAATTATATGATTCAAAATGCATATTGTCAATAAGCAAGATAGTGTTTATTTTTGTGCTGAATTGTTATTATATATATTTTTATTTTATTTTATTTTAATTTATTTTATTTTATTTTATTTTATTTTATTTTATTTTATTTAAATGAATATTTTATTCTATTTTATTTTATTTAAATGAATATTTATTTTATATCTATTTTATTTTATATTGTTTTATTTTATTAAATTATAATTTATTTTTATTATTTTATAGTTTTATTTTATTTTATATTTTTGTATATTTTTTTTTACTCTTATTAAAAACTTGTAATATAAATAGTGAAAATTGAAATCCATTGAGGCGCGTTTTAGTACAAAGTACTGAGCTAACCACGGCCAATAGTCCTTTTATTTCGTCGCATTTCTGTATTATATTTAACTGACTTAAACTGTTAAATACAAAAGCGGTCTTATGGTTATATCTTGGTGGTTTGTACTTCCGATATTCTTATACGATGCCAACGACCTAAAAATCATATTTTTGATCAGGGTACAAACTATCAATCTAAATCACGAATCTATTTGTGTCTCGGTTTATTTGGCTCATTCATATTGAATAAATGGATCTTGGTTGTATGTGAAAATTATTCGCAAATCAATTGCCTCATACCTCTTATTTCAACTGAACGAACCAAACTGATTTTTCAAATATTTTAAAAGACAATCAATTAAATTATAAAACGTCATAAATGTGGATAATTATGGTCTATATTTTCAATCAAAGCCTTCATACAAGCTGATGCTTCAGGTACAGCATAAGTATTACAAAACTATAAATATAACTATAAGAAATAAACATGAGTAGTTAACACTGCAGATGTCAGCATATACCTATTCAACATAAACTAAAGTACCAATAAACTGAACATTTAAAAAAACTACGTATAGCCATGCCAACCACAATAAATGTCACTGCCATAATACAAAAAGCTACGTAATAAGGGGGTATTCACGATCTTGCGTAACGAACTCGGTAACTAGGTAATACAGTAGAAATGAGTAGGGATGACAAAATATATTTTGTTGGTATTGTGTTGGTAGTTCACAATGTTATTATGTTAGTCGAATAAAGATCTCATAACTCGAGATCGTGAATAGCTCTACTAATTTGTACTCTTAAGAACAATGAAAGTAAACTCACTTAAAAGCATAGTTCAGTGTGATTATTATTGTGTTGATAGCTTAGGCCTTACCAATTTTTTTTACTTAAATCGAAACACTTG